ACCTATATTTTTTTAGAAATATGATACTGCATGTGTGTATAAAGGTGATGAACGTGTTGCAAAAATAAACTAGCAAGAATAGCACGGGTACGATCTCGTTTTCGTAACTTGGTCTTGTTGTTAAGACGACCTAGTTGCACGCACCTTGTCCGAAATCGTCTGCTAAGGTAGTTCTCATTATTCCCAGCATTAGCCCGCGGACTTGGTACATTGCCAGACGTTTCGCCGGCACGGTCAGTGAGTCTTGCCATGATCAGCACCAATTTGCAACTTTTCAGAGACAAGTGAAGTTAATCCCTTGACCAAATTTCTTCCGAGACGGTTGTGCTTTTTGGTTCATCTATCTACTTCTTATTCACTTGCTTACTTACTTACTCTTGCTCTACCACAACTTCTAACTTCTTTATAGTCCTCTCCTCAAGGGGTGTACCCTTTGTGCGAGTTTTCTATAGCATCATCACACTTGTTCCTTACCTTTTCATCCATCATTCTTGATTTACTGATCCGACTCGGGTCTCCTATCCGGATCTCCATCATGGGCCTGTAGATCCGTTTTCTATCTTTATGGTTGACCGGTATTATTCGGTTCCAGTCCCAGTGTACGCTTTACTCCAGGCACTAGTTATCACCCCTTCAAATGAACGTACACTGTCACATCGCCGAGCAGGACGAATAGTATCTGTTTCCTGTGTTTGTAGATACTATGAATTGCCTTCATGGGTCACCTTGATTTAATCTATGAACGCTCAGAAAACTGTGGATTTCCGGCCAATTTAGCCATAATTCTGAATTTCCTCGACAGTTTCGATAATCTATCTCCATAGCTCTGGAGGCCTGGTGGTCACAGGAGCATCAGACCCCTAAGTTTGTAATTGTTTCTTTGAGCAGACCAAATTCACTGATAAAGTCTTCATCCACCCACTTTTTCCTTGAGATCCCTATTATTCTCGTTAATGATAGACTTAATTTAGGCGTGTTGTCTTTGCCTGTCTTGTCGTAGTCTTGGTTTCACAGAGTTTGCTTAGGTAATATACATAGTTATCGCTAACTCTACCTTCAATCTGTTCATAAAATTTATTTCCTAAGGATGTCAATGGCTTCTCTAATCTCCCGTTTCCTTGTGTTCTTACTTTCTTTCTGTTGCCTTTCAATTGATCTCGTATCCAATTTGTGCAATGTATTCTGCTGTTTATGATATTCCGGTATACATTTTCCTATAGAACCGCTGCTGATTTTTCTTCCTATTTCGCGAAATATATTTCTCTATACAGACCCTGCATGCTATGCAGCAAACTCCAGAGCAAACTTCCAGTAAACGCCAAAGTAAACTCGCAAAAAACGAGCACACCTTGATGAGAGTCATATAAACAGGTAGAAAATGGAAATAAAAAGTGATAGTACAGCCGTTTGACAGGAAGTTGGCAAAGGGGTTGACTTTATTTGTCTTATTTAAAAGTTAGTATGGTGCTGAGAATAGGAATACTCACTAACGATGCCGGCGAAACGTTCGGAATGTACCAATTCCACGGTCCAGCACTAATAATAACGAAATCTAATATAGCAGTTGACTTCGGACAAAGTGCATTCAACTAAGACCACTTAACAATACATTGTGAAAATGAGGTCGTACCATTTATATACATCTAAAGGAGATTGCGACCAAAATAGAGGGAACAACATTTTTGTCTTCATTTTATATTAAGGCCATTCTTTACGAGTGAGCATTTTAAAAGATTATTGGAAATATTCAGTGCGACAAAATGCCAAACTGGATAAGTATTGTTGGGACTTTCATTTCGTATGAGAA